GATGAAGCTATACTGCGCAAAAATGGAGAGCATTAATACACAAAGAGATTGAAGCCATAGAGAAGAATCATATATACTTTGGTTCTGTCAGAAAACCCTACAAGAGTGACTCGGTTGGGGTCAAATGGGTTTCCACGACCAAGTTGGGAGAAGATAGTTTTGTAGACAAGTGTTGATATGACTTGAATTAAATTATTTGTTGTCGACTGGAATTGACAGGGTTTTTCTATCCAGTTAGTGAGCTCGGGGAGCAAGGTTCCCCCGATCCACAGTGTATGGACTTATACACGTTTAGGTTTCTGTTCTAGGCCTGGTCTCTAACCTTATTTTTTACCATATTGGATTAGGGTTAGACCATTTGTAAAAGTGCTATATATACTTCTCATATCCCTTTATAGTCTGTAATCTCCTCAAGTATAGTGAAATTGGCTCTCTTCTGCCCGCGGACTAACTAATACACATTGTGATAATAAACCACGTAAATCTATATGTTCTTTAATTTCTTGCATTGTTGATTATCCCAAATCGTTCTTGACATTAAGGTTAATTGCAAAGGGATATGCTCAACGATATAAAATATACACTATACTAAATTAACTACCCCATGGTTGAGTGGTATACCATCAAAACATTCTTAGTTGTAGGTATTTATTATGGTTTCCGTCTTTAAGTTAGATGTTAAGAGTACTTTTTCTGCATGAGTGACGCACTGAAGAAGTATACATTGATCAACCACAAGGGTTCGTAGTTTTTATGGAGTAAAACAAGGTACACAGTCTTCAGAAGGTATTGTATGGTTTGAAGCAAGCACTCAGGGCATGGTACAACAAAATTGTGTCTTTATTTCTTAACTATGGGTTTGAAAGCTGTGAGTATGAGCACAATTGGTTCATACATAAGTTTGGAGCTGATATTATTTTGGTCATTCTATATGCTGATAGTTCAATATAAATCAGCTATAATTGATCACTCATGTTGAAATAGTTTAAGGAATCAAAGAAATAAGAATTTGAGATGGCTAACCTTGGAAGAATGAAGTATTTTCTAGGGGTTGAAGTAACTCAAAATGCATCTAGCATCTTCATCGCACAATAAGTATACAAAATAAGTGCTAGAAAGGTTTCATCTGGCATATTACAACTTTTTTCATAACCATATGATTTGTGGAACAAAGTTGTCAAAGGTTGGAGATAGAATTCAAGCAACCTTACTAAATACAAGCAACTCAATGGGAGTCTTTCGTATATCACAACAACTAAACCTGACATAATATACTGCTCAACAGAGATATGGAGGCTCTTACAAACCTACATATGCCTACAGCAAAGCAGATTCTGAGGTATTTGAAGGGTACAATGAGCTTTTGGAATCTGATAGGAAGCTTGATGAAGAAGATTGTTTGTTGGGATACATATTTGTTGATTATGAAGGAGAAATTTATGACATAAAAGTAAAAATAGTTATGTCTTCTTTATTTTAGGAGGATCCGTCTCATTGGCTTTCCAAGAAGTAGCTAGTGGTAACTCTATCAACCATAGAAGCTAAATTCATGGCAGCTTCCTACTGTGATGCTCAGTGTGTTTGGCTTTGAAGAGCTCTTGAAAAAATGGTTTGGAAAATGTTATAGATGTTTAGTTTCACTTTTTGAGGGAGTTTCAAAGAGATGAAGTGGTTGAACTGAAGCATTGTAGAACAGGTGATCAGGTAGCTGACATCATGACCAAAGCACTCAAATTGGAGACATATAAGCTACTGTGAAGTAGGCTGTGAATGGTTGATGGTGCAAAGATGAAGTGATGAATGTATGAGTTTGAACTGAGGGTTTTAAGGATGCTTGAGTTTAGGGGAGGATTTGTTAGAGATGACCGTTGAACCAGGGTGTTGGAGCTTAAGAAGGTTGGCGTCAAAAGAGAAGATTTAAATGTTTATGTTTTTATTTGAAACTATGTCATGTTGGTCTATTTATGTTTAGTCGCTTAAGTTTGTGTGATGTTTCATTTTAGTCCAATTTGGGTTAGTTAGCCATTACTGAGAGTTCTAAGTCAATTGGTAGTGGTTTGCAGGGTGAGAGTTCATGGTTGTTAGTAAGTTGTCAATTTTGTTTGCACATAAACTTTCATCGTGAAGGTTATGGTTCCTCCAGAGGAAGCTTCGCCATATGGTGGAAAGATCGGAGGGAAGAGGAAGAGTCATGCATCGTATCCCTACATCACTTCGGGCACCACATCCAAGGATACGCATGCATCGAGACTCCATGTTGGCGATGTTGTATTAAATAAAAGGAACCGTTCTGCTTCCACTCTCAAAAGGAGTCGAGAGGACAGTGGAGGGACGACTAGGAATTTTTCAGACCCTCCTGAGGGTAGGGTTAAGCGTAGGTGGATCAGAAAGGAAGGGCCTGAGTAGCTTCCTTCTAGAGTTGGGCCTAGCTTGTTTAAAAGAGACCTTGGGATAATTGAAAGGTGGGCGGAGGCTCCATGTGTCAGATTGGATCCGGATTGGGCCTTGTTTAAGAATGGGCTTGTGAGAGTGAATGTGTCATGCGTATTTTCTCCATGGTTTAGCCCATCCCAAAACATCTTCTGGAATTTGCATTACGGCCTCGTTGCCATTGATCTGGTCAAGTTTGGAGGGGGTGAACGAATCGACACCAAAAATTCGAGCTAGTTGGAAATTTCTTTTTCGAGGGATAGCCCGCCCGCCCGCCCGTTTGCCGGAGAGGAGATTTACTTCGACGATTTACCCGATGTGGAGACTGAGGTTCAATCGGGTGCGACTGACTCGGCACCTGTGGATGGATGGGGCGGGGATCTTCTTAGCCTCGTACCCCAAACCCCTATGGACAGTAACACAGAAGCAAAGGACATCATCTCTGAAGCAGGGTTTGCACCATTGGGGAATAACGAGCTCCCTTCTCCTTCTTGCATCGAGTCGGGTGGAAGTAGAGAGTGGAATATGGATGTCTTTCCGTTCGATGCGGAGACGTTGTCGGAGAAATGTATCTATGTGAGTAGAATGCTGAATTTGGATGTTGATGGGAACCAAGAGAAGGGCGAGGATCTAGTTCTGCGATCGGCTAAGGAACTACACCAGAGGAAGATCAGGATAACTCGCTCTTAGCTAAAAATGGAAAATCATAGATTGGTTCCGAGAGCTCCTTCTTCGATGGGGCCTAGAAGCTGCAGGAAAAGTAGGGGGTCTCTTTCTCATCGTTAACCCATGGATACGAGTTTTGTTGTTTGGAATGTTAGGGGAATTGGAGACCGAGATAAGAGGAGCAGGATCAAACGCTGGATCGGGCGTCATAATCCAAAAATCATGGGCCTCGTCGAGACAAAATTGTCGTAGTGTGATGAAAGAATTGTGGGGAGCTTGTCCTGCAGAAGAGAGATTGACTGGGTGGCAAAGAATGTTGTTAGAAGTTCTAGAGGGATAGCGGTCTTCTGGGATAAAGTCTTCTATTCTAAATTGTCCAGCTCCGAAGGTAATTACTTTCTCACGGTCGACCTGTTGGAAATCCGTGGCTCTAAAGTTTGGCACTTGGTGGTTGTTTATGGCCTGCAAGAGAGAGTGGACAAGTTGGCGTTCCTTAGCGAATTACATGATTAATTGCGGGAGGAAGCAAGGTCATGTTTGCATAGTTGGTGATTTTAACTTGGTAAGGAATCACGATGATTATCAAGGAATTAGAAGAAGCCCTGAGTTGATGTTCGAATTTAACTCATTCATTGATAATAATGGACTGCTCGAGCTGCCACTAGGTGGCAGCAAGTTCACTTGGAGTCATGGTGTGAATAGGAATTCCCGATCTCGCATTGATAGGGTATTGATATCTCAAGAGTTCGACAATCTCTATCCGGATTGCACCTTGACAGCAATGGAATGTGTGGATTCGGACCACAACTTGTTGGTCGTGAAGTGGGGTTTGGCCGAGAGGATCAAGAGGACGTGGCGATTTTAGAATAGATATATGAATATATTATGCTAACTGTTTGTATTTCGTTCATTGCATCGGATGTGGCTCGAAGACGGGCATTTTTTTGAGAGTCTAAACTCCTTGATGGGAGAAAGTCTGCAGGGTAATGGATGTATGTTCCTACTTGCTAAGAGACTGCTACTTATTAAAGCAAAGCTTAAGATTTGGAACAAAGAGGTTTTCAGGAATGTGGATGTCAAAATTGGGGATTTAATCCAGAAAATTAAGGCTCTGGACTCTTTGGAGGAGACGACGGCTCTTGAGGAAGAGGAGAAGAATGCTAGATTTGGTCACGAGTTTGAACTTAGCAAGTTGCTTTTGCTCCAAGAAATATGTTGGAGACAAAAATCTAGAGAAACCTGGATTAAGGTGGGTGAGAAGAATACATGGTATTTTCATAAAGCAGCTAACTACAGGAGGAAAGTCAATTTTGTTGATCGAATTAGAATTAATGGCCAAATGATCGAGGATAAGAAAGAGGTGAAGACAGGGATCGTTGGTTACTAACTTTATTCAAGGAAACGATGATTAATTGGCCATTTCCAGGGGGTATTTGCATCCCGAGTCTTGATGGTAACGACATTCTGTTGCTGGATCGACCATTCTCTGATCAGGAAATTGGCGAGGCTATGAGAGATAGTGATGGCAGCAAGGCCCTTGGCCTGACGGTTTCAACCTTGTGTTCTTCAAAAGGTGCTGGAATTGGTTGAAAAGCGATATTATGAAGGCTTTCCGGGAGTTTTATGGGAACAATTTATCTCCCTAAATGTGTTACCCGCTTTTTGTATGCTTCACTCCGAAGAAGGACGCGGTTGAAGACATCAAAGATCTGAGACCCATTAATATGATGGGGAGCATAAAGAAGATTGTGAATAAAGTGCTCTCTATAAGGTTGTGTCTTGTTCTTCCCAAACTTATTTCGCAACAACAGATGTCATCGGTTCAAGGGAGGCAGATCTCCGAAGCCAGGCTTATCGCAAATGAGTTGGTGGACAGCCGAAAGAAGAGTAGAAGACAGGGTTTGATGTTCAAATTGGACGTTGAAAAGGCCTTTGATAACGTTAATTGGGGTTGTCTATTTAAGTTGTTGGCTGCTGCTGGCTTCTCGGAAAAGTGGTCAAAATGGATTAAGGGTTCTATGTGCTCCTCTTACATATTTGTTATTGTGAACGGGGAAGCTAATGGCTTCTTTGTGGCTTCTAAGGGGTTACGTCAGGGGGACCCTCTCTTGCCTGTACTTTTTGTCTTGGTCATGGAGGTGCTGTCATGGATGTTGAAATCGGTTCGGGAAAAAGGAAAATTCGAGGGGTTGTTTATGAACGAAGAGTTAAAGAGGGGGGAAGTTACCCACCTATTGTTTGCAGATGATACTCTTATATTTTGTGATGCTAATCACGATCAGGTGCTACATGTGCTGGCTGCAATCGTGTGTTTTCAGACCGTGACTGGCCTTAGAATCAATCTCGACAAGTTAGTGATGTATACCGTAGAAGATGTGGCTGATCCAAGCTTTTTGTTGCTATCTTCGAGTGTCAATGGAGAAGGAATCCCCCTAAGTACCTCGGTTTCCTTCTTGAAGCTAAACCGAATGATTCTGCCATCTGGGATTCGATCGTGGGAAAGATGCAGAGTAAGCTTAGCAGATGGGGCAATAAATATCTTTCTTATGGCGCGAGATTGGTCCTCATCAGAGCGGTACTCTCGAGTATGCCCACTTACTTGTTCTCTCTTTTCAAGGCACCAGCTTCTGTCATTAAAAATTTGGAAAGGATTCAAAGACATTTTCTGTGGAATGGAGCGGGAGAAAACAACAGGGTACCACTGGTGGATTCGAATGTGTGCAAGGCTAAAAATGAAGATGGGGTTTGGGAATTAATGATCTAAAGGCGTTCAATGACGCAATGCTTTCTAAGTGGTTGTGGAGATTTGCTGTTGAGAGGAAGAGCTGGTGACGAGAGATGATAAGTATTAAATATCCTAATTCGACTTTGAATTGGCAAACTCCTAAGGCTTGTAGGGGTTTCTCCCAGCCCGTTTGGGCTAACATTACGAAAGAGTACGAGAACTTCAGGAGGTTTGCTAGCTTGGATCCTGGGAACGGCACTCAAATCTCATTCTGGCACGATCCTTCGGTTCCGGGCAGACTGTTATCCAAGGTCTTCCCTTGTGTTTCAGCTGCTGCCTCAGACCTCAACGCCAAGCTCTCCGACACTGCCAGCTTTAACGGTGAGAGGGTGAGTTGGTCCATTAACCTTAATTTTCCTCTAAAGGTTGGGGCTGAGAGGGAGCGTTTGAGTTTAGTTAATTTGCTTGAGTCCCTGCAGAGTGGTTTGGAATCTTGACTTGAATGACAAGTTTTCTGTGAGTTCCATGTATAGGGTTCTGGCGGAAGAGAAGATTATGGTGTGCCGAATTTTCCAGCGAAGATTATGGTGTGCCCAGTAAGATTTGCTTCTTTTTGTGGTTGGTGTATCACAACAGGGTACTCACATTGGATAATCTAATGAAGAAGGGGTGGAGTTTGGTCAATAGATGCCTCTTCTATCAACGCAAAGAAGAGACTGTGTTGCATTTATTCCTGGAGTGCGATTTTGCTAAGATAGTGCAGAGGAGCATTTATGGGAACAACTGGGTGGCGCAGATCCAAACAAGGGATACCTCTGCTTTTATCAAAGAGTGGGATTCAAGAGCATTGGATGGCGTCAACTCGTGGTTTAGAGATTGTATCCTCCATGCTGTTTGGTGGAGCGGTTGGCTCAAGAGGAATCAACGTGCGTTTGAAGATACATTCTCGTCTGCGGGTGTGGTGGCTCACAGGGCTGCAAAGAACGCGATGCAGTGGATTACTACACACGGAAAAGTGGAAGCTGAACAAGGTTCAAGATGGTTCGGAGAAAACTTGAATGGATTGTGATGTCGGTGTTGTTTGCTTTGGGAGCCTAGCATCTTGGGAACGTTGGTGCTGTCATTTTGTTCAGAGCGTCGAATGCGCTCTGTTGATGTGTCCCTCGAGGTGGTTCCTCTTCGAACGTCGCTGCTGCCTTCATGTTCAGGGTGTGGATCACGTTTCTGCTTATCTGTTCTTCGCGTTGGCGCCCAGTTGCTTTTGTTTCCAGCTGGTTTTTGCCCTGGTTGGCGGTGTCTGTGTTTTTGTTTCGAGTCTGAGTCCGTCTTAGAGTGTTCTATGTTGGCTTCTATTTTGGCTTGGACTCGGGTTTTAATTGGTTTCTTGTTGGTGGGAGCAGGGGTCTCTCGGTGGGCCTAGCTCCTGGGTTCTTTTGTTTCATTTTTTCCACGTTTTAGTCTTTGTTTGCTTTTCTGAAGCGTGCACTTATTGTGCAGCTGACTTCTTTGGTTTTGTTTGGTTTTTGCTTGTTCCTTTGTTGGTTTTTGATAATAAAAGTTTCAAAATGCAATTACGATCTTTTGTCGGATGAGATACTATAATCGTCCTCTATCAGCTATTGAATCTTTTTTAGGCCGCTTTAGATATTTTGTGTTTGCTCCTCTTTCCGCTAACAAAGTGGACTTTTTTCCTGCAACATTTAGTATTTGCATGTTCAGAGTATCAATTGAATAAACTCATTTGAAAACCTCTAAACAAACCTAAATCTCACTCTCATCTCTGCAAAAAAAAATCTAGTCTTTGTTATATCTCTATCAACTTTCATGCATTCACATAAAACACCAATTTCCTATTCTTAAAAAAAAACTGATTTTACTTTTTTATATCTAAAATACGGGTAAAATGACTCTACCTACAAATATTAACTTTATTTTTTTCTTAAATTCTGTACAATCACGACAAAGAAATATTGAAAAGCTCAAACGCGGATGTTAGAATATGACTTGAATTTGATTTGGGTTTGTTTTGTGTTTTGGGTCTATTTTGTTTGGGTTTGTGTTTGGGCTTTGTTTGACCTTTTCCTTGTATGTTTGGGAAAATGTGTTTGGTTTTCTGTTTGGGATTAGGAGAAGAGTTCTATAAATACTCTTCACCACCCTAATCTGTTGTAAGGTCAGTCAGGGTTAGTTTGTTTGGTTTGTCCGTTTGAATTTGGATTGTAACCTGTACTCTCCTCAAATTAGTGAAAGTTGTCCCCCCTGCCCGTGGATTAGCTAGCACACATTGTGTTAGTGAACCACGTTAAATTTGTGTTCGTTCGTGTTGGTTTGGATTATCAATTGCACGCTTCTGTTCTGACAAGTGGTATCAGAGCCTGGTTGCGGTTTTGGGAATTTGGCGCTGGACTGAAGTTTTGCTTTGTAGAGTTTGGCTGGAGTTTGTTTGATAGTAAGGATGGCTGCTATCAGTATGAAGATTTAGAAGCTTACCGGAAGAAACCGTTTCAGTTTGTGGCAGATCAAGATGCAACCACTGTTGAAACAACAAGGTTTGTGGGCTCCATTGTCTGGAAAATCAAAGAAGGAAAGTATAGATGAAGAAGAGTGGATTACTTTGGAGGAGAAAGCTCACTCTACAATCTTGCTTTGTTTAGCTGATGACATCATCACTGAGGTTGCTGCTGAGAAGACTGACGCGGGTTTGTGGTTGAAGCTTGAAAGTCTATACATGACAAAGTCTTTAACCAACAAGTTGCATATGAAGCAACGTTTATTCAGTTTGCGTATGGAGGAAGGTACGTCTCTCAGGAATCATCTAGATCAACTCAATACTATCTTGCTAGATCTGCGGAATATTGATGTTAAAATAGATGATGAGGATGCTGCCTTAATTCTGTTAGTATCTTTGCCACAGTCATATGAGAATTTTGTGGATTCTTTTATTGCTGGGAAAGATAGTTTGTCTTTGGAAGATGTCAGATCTGCTCTACATACTGGAGAGGTTCGACATAAGGCATCTGGTTCAGGTTCGGAAACTCAGGCATCTGGGTTGGCTGCTACTAGTAGTAGGAGACAACAATCTGGTAATAGGAAGGCGAATACAAATTCGAATTCTGCTGGTTTGAAGGATGATATCTGTCATTACTGCAAGGAGAAAGGACATTGGAAATTTGATTGTCCTAAACTGAAGAAATATCAGGAGAAGAAGGAATCATCTGATGTTGTGGCAGATGAAACTAACTCTGATTCTAAAGATGGTTTAGCCTTAGCAGTGAATGAACAGGTACATCATCAGGATGTCTGGTATTTAGATACTGCAGCTGATTATCATATGTGTCCAAGCAGGGAGTGGTTTTCAACTTATGAGCAGATAGATGGAGGACATGTTTCTATGGCCAATGGTGCTATCTGTAAGATTGTTGGAAGAGGCTCCGTCAGGATGAGGACACATGATGGTTCTGTTCGCACCTTGAACAATGTTAGGCATATTCCAGAAATGACTAAGAATCTGATATCTTTGAGTCTACTCGACAGCAAGGATTTCAGTTTCAAAGGTAAAGGTGGAGTGTTGTCTGTCTACAAGGGTTCTAAGGTGATTTTGAAAGGTTTCAAGCAGGGTGCCTTGTATAGTTTACAAGGTTCTGTTTTGACATGTTCTGTTGGTGATAAGTGCAGCAAGTTGGTTCTGAATGGCAAGTCTCAATATGGATTGGACTTGCCGAATGGTTTGAGTTGTTGACCGCCCTTAGGGGCATTTGGAGGCAGGGGAGATTCTAGTACAGCTGATTTGGAGGAGTTACTACTTTTGCAATTTTCTGATTGCGTCTGAGTTTGGTGATGTGCATCGCGTTTGAGTTTGGTGATATGGATCGCGTCTGGGTACATCTGGCAACCTTGGTTGCGTCTGGTACATCTGTTATTTGAGAGAAAATTCAAGTCAAGGTGGAGATTGTTAGAATATGACTTGAATTTGATTTGGGTTTGTTTTGTGTTTTGGGTCTATTTTGTTTGGGTTTGTGTTGGGGCTTTGTTTGACATTTTCCTTGTATGTTTGGGAAAATGTGTTTGGTTTTCTGTTTGGGATTAGGAGAAGAGTTCTATAAATACTCTTCACCACCCTAATCTGTTGTAAGGTCAGTCAGGGTTAGTTTGTTTGGTTTGTCCGTTTGGAACTTGGTTTGTAACCTGTACTCTCCTCAAATTAGTGAAAGTTGTCCCCCCTGCCCGTGGATTAGCTAGCACACATTGTGTTAGTGAACCACGTTAAATTTGTGTTCGTTCGTGTTGGTTTGGATTATCGATTGCACGCTTCTGTTCTGACACCGGATCCTTAGCAATGCATGCATTCATAAACATATCAATCTTAACAATTACACATACCAAACTAAGGTCGTAATTTAATGTCGAAAAACATATATTCTACAAATCACAGGGCGAATTACCAGGCTTGGGTCAAGTACCCTCTAAGTAGATTTGGAATGTTTGAGTGACATCCTATTGATTCGCTTAGGGCTGAATAAAAATTACAAAACACCACAGATAACTTTCTGACCAAATCACAATTTATGTGTTATATATACTTTCCTAGTGAAAGACCTCATCAAACTTGGAATATGGAATGTGAATTGTATTGAATGAATTGAATTGCAAGTAAGTAACGACCCATCATTGCTGTGTAATGATTATCGATGATTGTAGGGGAGGAAGATGTGTAGTATACATATGTCTGCTGCTGCTGCTGCTGCATATATCTCTGCCTGCGTTTTTGGTATATGTGTCGTCTGAGGAACTGGCATGCAGGCAGGGCGGGGAAAAAGAGCATTGCAGAGAGAGAGAGAGAAGGGTGGATAGATATGAATCATATTGGGTGGTGGTGGTGAGTCTTCTCTAGATCTCCTCATGACAAACACACAAAATTTTGCTAACAAAAGGGCGCAGGGGATCTGGTAGATAGTAAGATAGCATCTTATATTTCCTCTTTGAAATTTGGTTTTGTGTGTGTTTGCTACAAGACAGAAACCCCTCTTTTTT